CATCTGCCTTCCGCCCCCCCCCCCCCCCCCCATTGTTTTGATGACATATAAGATGTGGATGACTGGGTACATTGGCTGACCGACTTGCAGGGAGAGGGAAAGAGGTCCACGTCCACAGAGGGACGGTCGCAGGAGGCCCGGACCGGGCAGAGGACGGGGAGGGCGAGGAGGAAGAGGAGGCGGCAGCGGCGGCGCAGGTAAACGCCCCGTCGGAAGTCAGAAGAATTCCAGGATGGAACAAGTGACTTTGCGGCAGGCCCTCGCGGTGACAATGCGGAGACCAACACCGAGACGGACCAGACCGCCGATACCGATGCGAGCGAGTCCAACTTGGTGGCCACTCGCCAGCGGAGATCTCGACGACGCAGGACGGATGAGGACGCCACCATGATGGACGGCATGAGCGAATCGGACAACGCCTCCGTCAGCGAAAACGGAATCGGTATGGAACTCCTTCAATACCCAATGGGCACTTTTGCTCTTTACCTGCTGTTCGATTCCTCCTTTATTTTTTTCCCTACACTTTGGTTTTCTGTAAAACAAATGTTGCCAAATCAAGTGCGCTATGGCATCCATTGAAATGAAGCGGCAGTGAGCTAGGCCGATTGCCATGTTTAGCCTCCAGTCCCTCTCGCCACCCTTAGATGACGCCGAAGCTCAGCCGCAGCGTCGTAACCGTAGTCGACGACGTCGTATTCGCCTGCCCGAAGAGAGGCAGCCAGGTAATTGGGGACTGCTCGTATCGGTGCTCGCGTTGCCCTTCGCCGGTTGTGGGTTTTGTGTGACGCGTTTGCACTGCAGATAGCGACCATCATACGTTTTCCGTTTCCGGCTAGCGTGTGCCAAAATGTTTTTTTGGTTTTTTTTTTTCCCCCCAGCATTCTCATCAGTCATGTTAAGACCTTCACTAATAATGTTGTTGTCTGGCTGCCGTTTCTGACAGACTGAAGTGGTGTGTCTCAAGAGCATGCGCTTGCTTTAACCTTTAAGCTGCATGGGTAAAAAAAAATAATAGAAGAATCCTGTGTGAAGTTTTTTTGTTTTTTAATCAGTTAAATTTCAAGAAATTCTAAATTCAATTTATACTTCTGAATGTTTCCAGGGTCCAAAATTGTGACAGTAGCAAAATGACAAAAAAAATGAAAAACATTTTTTAGGACTTGACAGGTTGATTTGAGACATTCTAATGCCAAACGTGAAGGCCTTGTGTTCAGAAACGGGGGTTCGATGCCTTTTTGAGGATCTGTGGGAACCCTGATTTTCCAAATGTACTTGGTACAAGTGCCCCTCTGGCATCGTGACATTCTGCAGACAGTCTTTACTTCGAGGTTCCACTTGCCAAACTCAAGTCTGTAACTTCTGCCAAGCGTCATCACACTTTGAAAACTCTCAAATCAACACCCATGTCAAATTGGAGGAGAGTAAGTGAAACAAGGCACCCCTTGCCCGCATGTTCCTTTCACACGGCAGCGAATGGATTGTCCCCCCCTCCGATTGGCCAACGCTTTGTCTTGTCTGCTCTGTGCACAGTGACGGTGGCAGACTTCATGTCCAGGGCCGACTCTCAGAGCAGACAGATGCCGACCACCAAGGACGTCGCCATGAACGAGGAGGAGGTTTCTGCACTTAGTCTTCTTTTTCATTGGCAGCAAATCGTTGCGCAAGCTTGGGTGGGCTCTTGGGTTCCAAGCTGAGAGTGAGCTTGGAGTTTTGTTTTTTTTTTTTTTTCCTCCATGTTTTGTTCAGGGTCAGGCGGATGCCGGAGCAGAGCGCAGCCCCGAGGCTCCGTCCACAACCGCCAACGGTTCCGACAACGGTGCCAACCAAGAGCCCGCCGGGCCCGCCGCGGAGGGAGCCGCCAAAGTCTCGGACAAAGGGGAGCCGGACCCCAAAACTGTTGTCAATGGCCTCTCGTAGCCAGACCCCAAAACACTCTTTCGAATCTTGTTTGGCATTGTTTGAAATCTCACGCTTTTCTTTGAATCTGTTTTTAACGCGGCAAGAATTTTTTTTTTTTTTTTAAACTTTGAAATTTAAAACCGTGCACATTTTAGTGGTCTGTATAATTACGCCACACATTTACACTCTTGTTCTACTACCCACGCAGTTTGTCTTTTTCCAGTGGTTCTTCCTGTCTAAGCTGGCCAAAGATAGTCTCTCACACACTACGATGATGTAAATGTTCATTTTCAGTCGCAAGAATGACTGTGAATGCAGTATTTGGAAAAAAGTAGTCAGGGAATTCAACTCCAACCCATACTGTGGTATGAATGCAGCCGTGGTTTTTGGTGACATCTTAGCAGGGTTTTTGTAAACGTCTGCCTTCGCCAGGAAAGATTTTCTGGATATTTTTGTGCATCTGAATTGGTTTGTACTTTCTATCGTCGTGCGTGAGCAATACCACGGCGCAGGCAGGTTTGTTTTGAACCCCCGCGTACTTGACATTGACGTGATCAGCTGTCGTGCCTTGAGAATAGTTTGAACATGTTGCCTGAACCGCACAATATCTGAAAACTTGTCACGCGTCTTTGCTGGTGGTTTGCCTGCCACAGTAAAATGCTCTCTTGCCACTGTGAACTGACAAACGCAACCACTGAAGACCCTGAGAAGTCATTCGGAGACATATCTTTTCAAGTCAGGTGTGACTGTTCTTAATGTTTATCTGTTGAGTTTGGCATAGCTGCTTTCTCTTTTTCAATATGCAACCACTTTGTTCATGAGGAAATGTTACAGCGTACCTGGAAAACAAACCGTAGAGTCATTTCCTTTGCACTGAAACATTTTTCTGTCAAGAGTTAATTGTAGTTGGAAAACTGCCTTGTGTGCTCAACAGAGATGTAGCCAATTTCTTGATTTTTGTTCGGCTGGAAACTCATTGACCGTTTCCCCAAAAGAAGGCTTATTTATTTTAAATATGTACAGTATTTAAAAAAAACAAAAACACACAAAAAAAAAAAAACACCTTGACTCTAAACGTATGGGAGAGGACACATGACAAATTTGGACTACTGAGTTATGACAGCGCATGTTATTCTGTTGGGTCGACAACAGTATTTTATTTTTGTTTTTTTTTTTCTAAAGGATCATTCTGGTTGGTTGATGTGCAATATGTTTTGTATGCAGGTAGTTCTTAAATAAACTTGATCTTTCATGTAGATTGCCTGAACCGCACAATATCTGAAAACTTGTCACGCGTCTTTGCTGGTGGTTTGCCTGCCACAGTAAAATGCTCTCTTGCCACTGTGAACTGACAAACGCAACCACTGAAGACCCTGAGAAGTCATTCGGAGACATATCTTTTCAAGTCAGGTGTGACTGTTCTTAATGTTTATCTGTTGAGTTTGGCATAGCTGCTTTCTCTTTTTCAATATGCAACCACTTTGTTCATGAGGAAATGTTACAGCGTACCTGGAAAACAAACCGTAGAGTCATTTCCTTTGCACTGAAACATTTTTCTGTCAAGAGTTAATTGTAGTTGGAAAACTGCCTTGTGTGCTCAACAGAGATGTAGCCAATTTCTTGATTTTTGTTCGGCTGGAAACTCATTGACCGTTTCCCCAAAAGAAGGCTTATTTATTTTAAATATGTACAGTATTTAAAAAAAACAAAAACACACAAAAAAAAAAAACACCTTGACTCTAAACGTATGTGAGAGGACACATGACAAATTTGGACTACTGAGTTATGACAGCGCATGTTATTCTGTTGGGTCGACAACAGTATTTTATTTTTGTTTTTTTTTTTCTAAAGGATCATTCTGGTTGGTTGATGTGCAATATGTTTTGTATGCAGGTAGTTCTTAAATAAACTTGATCTTTCATGTAGATCTAAAACCAAACTGTGCGCTCTTAAAAGCAAAAACATGAATGAATGCAACCTTTCGAATGTTGTGCAATACGCAGCGTAAAAACCACAAAAGGCAAAGGCTCTATATACAATGGGATTCATTTGAAAACTCAAACGCAACAATGTGATTAACTTTGTAGCCGCTTCGTTAAGGCTTGTCACTTCTTTGATTGGCCTTCAATTAGATCTTTGGCCTCGTTAATCTTGGCCGCTAGGTAAGGAGAGCCACCTGCAAGAACACAAGAATATTTTGTCAAGCCCTTGATGTCAGACTGGGAAACAGTTAAGCTTGCCACCTACCTCTGTCTGGGTGATTTAGGATCATCAGTTTTCTGTGGGCTTCTCTGATCTTATTCCAACTGGCAGTGGGACTGAAAGACATGCTAGCCATGTTAAAAAAACAAACATGCAAAACAAGACCAAATGTGAGCCAAGACTAAACATACCTGACACCTAAAACCAATGCGGCTTCTCTCTTTGTCATCTTTGGTTCAAAACCACCTCGATAGTAACCCCCTCCAAAGGCCTTCAATACAGAGCATACATTTAATTAGCTGGAGCCCAGTTACGACGCGATTTAGACTTTGGTCCTCAAATTGTAATCATAAATGTCAACGAATACTACAGCAGCAGCCTACAAATATTAATCAACCTTGCAGGTGGTCATTATGTACAGAGGATGCCTAGGACAGGTTTAAGTAAGGACAATCGCATCCATCTGCATCTTGCACCTGCCAGGTGGGAACACTTTAGGGAAAGGGAAGTAGCAAAACGAGATACGTGAGAGCCTCACATTCTTCGGGAAGCTCTGTAGGGCCTGCTTGACTTGAGGCTCCATCTGCTTCATGGCCTGCATGACATAGCGACCTGGGTGATGAAGCAGAGAACACCAGGCAAGGGTCAAACTATGACACTTGACAAGAGCTCACTTCTGTAACTTGCCTGCAAATCCAGCTGCAGCCAAAGCGAGCCCCGCTGCCACCAAGGAACTGGCCTGGGGACACCGGCAGCAGGTAAAAATCACGACAAACAAGTGATGAGATGTCAATGCTCCCAAGACGTAATTACAGCACACGCACAAAAAAAGTAATAATTCAACCCAAACAAGTCGTTCGCGTTGGACAGCTTCGGTAAAGCAAACTTGACTAAAGCTAATAGTTAGCCTAGCCGTCTCATCGAGATATTTTGTGACGTCACATGTTTTTTTTCCCCCCCGTCCTGCTGAGGAATATAAACTTATACTTGCCATGTATCCTTGTTGTGTTTCGTTACAAACCGATCAGGGGAAAAACTTTTGACCTCATGTTTTCTGACGTTCGTGTGTTTATGTCACCAATAGTATGAAACTGTCGTAAAAAGCCGGCAAGCAAGGCATGTCGCCCAGATGATAATTTCCCACAACACAAAACGTTATAATTTTAAAACACACGTGCCGTTACTGCTAACAATGTACAGTATCGATGAGGAACGTCCTATGTGCAGGTCATTCAATTTTCTGAAAATGTTGATTGAACTGACAGTGGCCAATAGAAAAATGAAATTTGTTGTGTTTGGCTTGACAGTGATTGGTTTACAATGTTAATATCAGACATGATAATACATATTTTTCGAGCCAGTCACAAAATAAAATTACAACTTCACATTTTAAAAATGTATTCTGGGATAAGTGAATATCCACACTACTGTCATACACATGTACACGCTTAGGCTTAAATATAATTTATTGATAAAACGCATTTCGTACATGACAAGAGTTGACAAGATGAAGAATTTCAACATTGAAAATAGCTACATTATTTTAAAACTGTCTTGGAGTCTGAGAGGCGACAGAGGTGATCAGTCCACCTCTTCAATGGTGGGCCCCTGGGCGGCAGCCCTGGCCTGCGCCCCGCAGCTTCCCGCAGGCCCCGCCCCCTGATACAGCTTGCTGATGATTGGCTGACACACTCGTTCCAGCTCCTTCTGCTTGTGCTGGAACTCGTCCGTGTCAGCCAGCTGGTTGTTCTCCAGCCAGCGGAGGGTCTGGTCACACTTGTCCGTCAGAGTCTTCTGATCCTCCTCGCTCAACTTGGCCGCCAGCTTCTCATCCTGGACGCTGCTCTTCACGTTGAAGGCGTACGACTCCAAAGCGTTCTTGGCAGCAATCTTGTCCCGCTGCAGGTCATCCTCGGCTTTGTACTTTTGGGCGTCGTCCACCATCTTCTCGATCTCCTCTTTGCTCAGACGGCCTTTGTCGTTGGTTATGGTGATTTTGTTCTCCTTGCCGGTGCTTTTGTCCACCGCCGACACGTTCAAGATGCCGTCGGCGTCCAGGTCGAAGGTGACCTCGATCTGCGGCACGCCTCGTGGAGCCGGCGGGATTCCGCTCAGCTCAAACTTTCCCAGGAGGTTGTTGTCCTTGGTCATGGCCCTCTCGCCCTCCAAGACCTGGATGAGGACGCCGGGCTGGTTGTCCGAGTAGGTGCTGAAGATTTGCGTTTGCTTAGTGGGAATGGTGGTGTTGCGTTTGATGAGCGGCGTCATGACCCCTCCGGCGGTCTCGATGCCCAGTGACAGAGGCGCCACGTCGAGCAGCAGCAGGTCCTGGACGTTGCCCGAGGTGTCCCCCGTGAGGATGGCGGCCTGAACGGCCGCGCCGTAAGCCACCGCCTCGTCGGGGTTGATGCTCTTATTCAGCTCTTTGCCGTTGAAAAAGTCCCGCAGGAGCTTCTGGATTCTGGGAATCCGTGTGGAGCCGCCAACTAGAACCACGTCGTGGATCTGGCCCTTGTCCATCTTGGCGTCCCTCAGGGCTTTCTCCACCGGCTCCAGAGTTCCCCTGAACAGGTCGGAGCACAGCTCCTCAAAGCGAGCCCTGGTGATGGCGGTGTAGAAGTCCAGGCCCTCAAAGAGGGAGTCGATCTCCACGTTGGCCTGGGAGCTGGAGGACAGCGTCCTCTTGGCCCTCTCGCAGGCGGTACGCAGCCTCCTCAAGGCCCTCTTGTTCTGGCCGATGTCTTTCTTGTGCTTCCTCTTGAACTCGGCGACAAAGTGCTCCACCATGCGGTTGTCAAAGTCCTCTCCGCCCAGATGTGTATCCCCTGCGGTGGCTTTGACCTCGAAGATGCCGCCCTCGATGGTCAGGACGGACACGTCGAAGGTGCCGCCTCCCAGGTCAAAGATGAGGATGTTGCGTTCTCCCGACTGGCTTTTGTCCAGACCGTAAGCGATGGCCGCCGCCGTGGGCTCATTAATGATCCTGAGGATGTTCAGTCCCGCGATGACACCCGCATCTTTGGTGGCCTGGCGTTGGGAGTCGTTAAAGTAAGCGGGGACCGTTACCACGGCGCTGGACACCCGTTGACCCAGGTAGGCTTCGGCCGTCTCCTTCATTTTGACCAGCACCATGGAGGAGATCTCTTCTGGGTAGAAGGCCTTCTCCTCCCCTTTGTGCTGCACTTGGATTTTCGCCTTCCCTCCGTCGGCGACCACCTTGAAGGGCCAGTGCTTCGTGTCCGCTTGCACCACCGGATCGTCGAACCTCCTTCCGATCAGTCTCTTGGCGTCAAACACCGTGTTGCTCGGGTTCAACGCCACCTGGTTTTTGGCGGCGTCACCGATGAGCCTCTCTGTGTCGGTGAACGCCACATAGCTGGGCGTGGTTCTGTTGCCCTGGTCGTTGGCGATGATCTCCACTTTGCCATGCTGGAAAACACCCACGCAGGAGTACGTGGTGCCCAGGTCGATGCCGATGGCGACGCCTTTTGCTGACACCATTTTGTTTGCCTGACGGTGAAGATGTTTGTCTGTGAGGGGAACGACATTGAAGCAGCACATTAAACATCATGTTCACATATATCTTAATCATCACCGAAAGAACCCCCAGTGGTCTACAATTCTACTATATGGAGCCAAAGAGCCTATGTAGAACCTCTGTAGCTACTTTATTATTTTACAGTGTAGAAATCACAAGATGTTAAACATTCTCACAACATGAGAAGCCATTCAATATAATGCAATAAAAATATATGCGACGTGACTAAATATTATGTAAAAAGTCTGAATTAGAGAGAATGAAAGCACCAACTTACACTTCAAGTGCACTGTGAGCTTCTTGAGGAGCTTCTCGTGTGGCTTCTTGTGGAGCTTGTATTTTGTGTACAGTGGCTGTCCCTCATAGTTTTTATAGTCGTCAAAACTCATTCTCGGCACTTCCAGACGTTTCTCTGTCAAACCCGTCACTGACCAAGACAGTTTCCTATTAGTTCTTTCAAACTAAAAGATTGTCGAAATGACTTTCAGGCTGTGGTAAGGCATATGAACGGAAGTATATTTTATTGTGAAGGCCAATACGGATTGTAATGTTAAACATTAACGTTTGCTTTTTACAGAACACTCTGGACTCATGGAGATGCAGCGAGAAGAGTGTCGATTATTTTTGAGTGAATGACGTCATTCATTTTAACGATATAGTTATGAAAAAAAATCTGTTTTTGTTAAAATGTGTTGGTGTACGTTGAATGTTAATATTGACATCAACTCATGAAATTGTCAAACTATTTTGTGTGCATCAATCAAACAAACACTACTAAAAGTAACATTATATCATAGATATTACTAGGTAATTACGAGGTAACTATATCATAGATATTTCTTTTTCTTTGAACATGTGTTTGGGTAAGACAAGCCTGTCTTTACGTTTTTACGTGCTTACGGCCACTTCCTTGTTCGTGAGTCAGCACTCTGCTGCATTCCGTTCCGCCAAAATAATGGGAGATGGGGCGATTTTGGTACTTTTGACTACTGTCAATGCCATATGGCCGAAAGTCGAGTGCCAATTACCAATTTACAGTACTGATCAAAGGAACTGAGCCGAGAGGAACTTGTGACGTCATCCAGAGTGTTTGAGTCATTGGCGTGGGTCGGCGTCTTTGAATTTGGTGGCATGGTACAGCTGAACTTGACACTCACAAACAGTCTGCAGTTAGAGTCCCCGTAATATCGATGTCCTTTGGCTTGAGATGATTGCCAGTCAAAGGAATGAGAAATGAATATCTAAAATCTGTATGGCGTAATGGAAACATGCCATCTATCTCCTGCCAGTGGACAAAAAACATGTCGGCATTATACACAGTAGGATAGTGAAAGGCCTCATTATTGACCCTATAATTTGCACAGTTACAATGTGGTTGTTTTTTTAAGACAGACGCAGTATAGAAATTGTAGTGGATCCATTTCCTCAACAGAGCAAGCCTGTTGTGTCAGCCAAGCCGTCCCAATCAACCGGCGGCGCAGACTGCGTTGTCAATCGGATTTCAAAAGCCAACCGTGTGGAGAAATGAGAGTTTCTAAATCATACGGAATGACAGCGCTGTGGTGCTTGCATATGGGCGCGAGCACAAAAGCCCACAGGAAGCAGCTATTTCGGTGTGTTTTATGAGCCCAACCGAGCAATTTAATTCTTTTGTTCGCTGGAGTTCTACTTCATTGATTAACAAAAGCGGGGATATATTTTTCTCAGCCCCTTTTGAAAAGCCTGAAATGTCAAGCCTTTTAAAGGAGATTATTCTGCCTGTGTGCAGTGAATAGAGCCCAGAGTAACCTTTTGTCTACAATTAAATATTCCGGCATAAATATAAAAGGAAATCAGAGATGGGGAAGATTGAGTCAGGAGAGATTGGCGAGGTAGATCCTCCGGCAGATAGCGGCAACAGCCCGAGCTCTAATTAGATATGCCAGGCAGCCGGTGAGCAGTCGCTCTCCACAGCACGTCGAGAGAGGAGACAGCCGGAGAGAGGACTGAGGAAACCTATCGGCTCATCTGTCCATCCGACGTCTTCCTCTGGGCATCCGCAAGGTATTTCGAGACTTGGTTTTGTGTCCTAATGTTGTTTGTTTTCCCGGCACTGGAGCTGAGGAGAGAGCGAGCGAGAGAGAGCGAGAGAGTTTTTAAAAGGCAATGCCTTGTGGGAACTGCATAAACAGAGAAGGATGCATGAAAAGTTGTGTGACTGTTTATGATGCAGAGGAGTGATCAGCGATGACAAGGAGGAACTTTGGGGACCGCCCCGAGGCTCGACTGTTAGCATATTAAGTGTTGATCGGCTCTATGCTGCCATTTGATGAAGTTGCGCGAAAGGCAGTCGGGCTTTGCATTTGTATTTTTCGCTGAGATGACTTTGCTTTTCATGAAAGTGACACTGTATCGATCACTTTTTTTTGTTTTCGTCAGCCGATCAGAACTTTTTGTCAGCTGATCTGCAGTTTTGATTCGACCGGAATGAGCGGCAGCTTGTCCGCCGGGTTTTGACAGGATCGTTCTCCCGAGCGGGCGTCTTGATGGCAATTAAGGAGATTCATACTTTTTTCGCTTTTGACACGACTCATTTGACACTTTTTTCATTCTTACTGTTTGGCTCAGAAATGGCACGAATACTGCAAACAAATTTCACTTCATTTTTTGTATCAGTGTCACATTCTCCGATCCCAAATCAGGCCCCGATGAAATTTGAGCAAAAATCAATGGGACATCCGCCAATGACTTTGATGGATTTGCGGCTGAGGATTGCTAAAATTAAATAAATAAATAAATAAAGTGAATACATTGTTCAATACTTCAATAAAGTACAACCGAACTCAGTTTTGATCCCGAAGCCTTTTTAAGAACAGAAGCTAGCGCGCATCATGCTACTGTGTAGCGTACATTTGACCATGCCTGCGTCCAATAATACAATCCGTCTTGCATACGTGTTGAGTGTCGGATATAGCACCCGTAACTGACACGACGCCGTGTTGTCGTGAAAATACGCTAAGTTATGTTATCAAAGAAAGAGGCCAAAATAAATCATTTTAAAAACTTTTTTCCCACCCTTAATGTGGCCCCTAACCCGTGTAGCTCAAAGCCAGCTAACACCTGCTGCCATTCAAAGTCGTATTATACGCAGGTGCGTATTCTAACTGGTAATTTTTCCGATATTTACTTTACTCGGGCCTCATTCATTCATTGGCCCTTAGAATTGACATCAATTGGCCCTTGGTATGGCCTAGAGCAGTAGTTCTTAACCTGGGTTCGATCGAACCCCAGGGGTGAATCGGTCTCAGGGGTTCGACGGAGCCTCTGCCATGGAGGTTAAGACACACCCGACTCAAGATGTCAATTAGTTATGACACGCCCGCTTGGCCATCGCTGGCTGCAGATGATCACATGACATTGCTCGTCCGATCAGTGCTGCGGGAAATTTAGTTCGCTCAGTCGTCACTGTGTGGCTGTCGTGATAGTACGTCATACAATTTTTAAAAAAAAACTATACTCATGCCATGAAATGTTATTGACTTTTTTTCTGTTTTTAATAAATGTGTTTTTTTTAAATGTCTTGAATTTGTCCAAAAAAAAACATGCATGGCAGGCTGATTGAATGGTTGTTCATCTCTGTGTGCACTGCGATTGGCTGGCAACCTGTTCAGGGTGTCCCCCGCCTACTGCTCGAAGACGGCTGAGATAGGCTCCGCCCCCCGCGACCCTTGTGAGGATAAAGCTGATCGGAAAATGGATGGATGGATGGATGGATAATGTCTTGAATTTGTCAAAAAATCATATTTTTATTTTTCACTAACAAAGGGTTCGGTGAACGTGCATATGAACTGGTTGTGTTCGGTACCTCGAACAAGGTTAAGAACCACCGGCCTGGAATCTCCTGTCTTCAGTTGTGTGTGCATGTGCTTCACTGTCACTCATTATAGGAGGAAATCTCATTGTTGTCAGGGAACATGTTTCTGTAAGGTTGGAACTGTAAGAGATGAAGTGAATGAAAGAATAAAACCTCTCCTGGTTTTATTGGGGCTGTTCTGAGTTGTGTCGGTAGAGGAACATGACGGAAGCAACATACGGCTTCATATCTGCACTCATAACAGTCGCGGCACGCCTATATGAATCAAATGTCAGCTCAACCAGAGCGCTCGGTGCCAGAGGCCTTTATCGCAGCTTTGGGGGCTGATTGGCGGAGTGTGCAGTAATGACTTCAGGTCGTGGGCTTGCGACCCTGTTATGATAACTAAACGCAAAGGTCAAATGCCTGAATGGCAGTCGGCTCCGTCTGTCCTGTCTGCTGATAATGCTCGATAACAACAAATGACTTTTTTTTTTTTTAGATGAGCATTTTCCTTCCATGTGTATTTGTGAATGAAAATTGCTTTAGCTCAATTTGCAGATCAAACAGCAAAGCTCGTAGACCAACGCGAACAGAAGCACCTCCATTTGGGATCTTTGAATCAGTCTCAAGACCACTTTTGAGGGGGTCAAGTCTCAGAGTCGATTGTGTTTGAACTGGTGAATTGTCTCGAACAAACCTTTTTTTTTTTTTTTTGTTCAGCATTTGTCATGCAATCCGGTCAAGGTAAACTATGATGGTGTCATAGTGTGCTAAAACGTGTCTGTGGTTAAACATTTTAAGCTAGTGGAAGTAAACGCAATGGGCTCTCCTTTGGTAGAGAGCGCATCTTCATATTATGTATTTTGTCTCTATTTTTCCACCTGGACAGACACTCCCGGTCACACATAGGCAGGCGGTCGAACATCTGGCTCTGGCGGACACATTTCTACAGACAGAGCGCATGTGTAAATCTGGCATAATGCTGATTTTTGCCTTTCTCCAAATAGGACTGCTAGCTTGGCAGAAAGGAAACACAAATTATTTCATCAAACAGCTCTCCCTCTATATCCAGACTTGACTTTGGCTCCATAAAGCTGGTTGCATAATCCTTTTATCAAACCTGCCAATAGTGGAAATACCCAGAGTGAGAGAAATATTATTAAGGTCATTTCTATCTGTAGTTTACAAAAAAAAAAAAAAACACCCTACTTTTCATTTTTTTATCTGGTGGTAAAAAAATGACTTTATGTCATGTATATTGAGACCAAGCAGCAGCTTTATAAATGTTCTCTGACCAACTGAGTAAATCTTTGCCCTCATCTGTACTGACCAAAATCAAATTGTTCTCATTTATTTCTCTCTCAAAAGGCACAGTAGATATGAAGACTACAACACTTCTGCACGTCAGCTTTTTCTACATTCATATCTCTGCTCTCATGAGTGTGAGTGTGTGAGGTTAACGTTCATATGTGCAGCACAACATGTTTTTGTATTAACCGGATCTCTTATGTGTGCCCCTCCTTTTAATGTCCAAAACCCAATTCATGTTTGACATCCTGTCCCTCTGTCCTTGCTCTCTGTCAGCCCAGTGGGCGTAGTTAGCACAACAAGGCATTTTTTTTTTCAGTGGATGATGAGGCATTTATTATTGAACTCCAAGTACTCGAGGAACGAGTGGCTGGGAAATTGTCCAGACATGTTTCCAATGGTCCAGATATAGTTCTCGCAACAGCGCTATTCCATACTAATCCCAAAATGCTCCCTGCCCCAAATCAGAGCTGTTAACACTCAAGCATTGAGTATGAGACGCACACTTTTCTGTCCAATATCACGCTCATACACTTGACTGTGATTTCTCACGCTGAAAAAAAGTACCACTGGGAAAAAAAATAGTTGAAAACATTTTGGGGTTCATCTTCTTGTCCCTTCCCAGTTCATTGCTGCTGGCTCACAGGGGTGAGTCGTCATGGGGCCACCCAACAGATAAACAAAACTAAAAAGTCCAGGGACAATTTTTATATGCTAGTCCAGTCCTGGTTTGAATTGATGTAATGTCATACTTTATTCAAAATATAATTCAATGTAAGTTTAGCTCATATTGCCATTCACACTTACTGTCAATATATAAACTGCATTTGTAAGAATGTCGTTTGAAGACAAGACTGGGACAAATTAATTGGGGAATCTGGGACATATTTTATTTGCTTCTATTAGGCTATGAATTCACCATTTACTAGGCAGGTTTGTTCCAAAAAGAGAGTGATCGATCCCCAACCACCGATACCAGGCCTCGGACCATTTGGGACCGGGCCGCCGAGACACACCTGTGAGCAGCGAGCAAATTGACTCCACCAGACGTAGCGGAAATATGCCCGACTCGACAACGAAAGAAGAAGCAGTGAACAGAAATTAAGAGTAACAAATTGACCCAACGTACAGCTAAACGCGCAGCTGACGGGCAGCCGCGACTTCCAAAGATGAAGCTTGTATGACTCGAGAAGTTCCTCCCTCGGCGGTATCTCCGAAGCGACGTGGAGAAGGAAGGAAGCTGTTATGCGTGGCAAGAAACCGGTTGAATCATTTCAGCAAGTAAGCACCCAAGTGATCAAGTGGCAAGCATTGAAAATGCGAGCAGATTTTGCACAACCCGCCCACGTAACCATTCGCAGTCGTGTCGTTAAAAATTAGCCAGCAGCCATCAATCGTTTGATCGGTCACATTAGCAAGTAGCAATGATGCTAACGCCGTATGTAGGATCGTAACTTTAAAATTCGTATGTTTACATGATAAGGCGTATTTATTATTCCTGGTTGGTCAATTTCTTAGTAGTTCACCGTGTTAGTGAAATTGATGAAACAAAAATCTATGTTACTTAAATGTTCACTTACTCTCTCATTATCTATGTTATCAGTACCAGTGCTTTAAAACTGGCAATTTAAAAGCAACGAAAAAATGGTTGCCGGTTCGCAAACAGTATGTCACTGTCTAAATTGGTCCGTGACACAATAAAGATTGGGGACCACTGTTGTAGAATACTGGAAATAACATCTTCTTAAAAAAACATCATCATGTTTGAAAGCACCGACTTTTGAAATATTATTTTTTGTATTTGAATGCGAGATGAGCATTCGGTTCTATCATGAAAAGTAGCTCAGTTACACACTGAAGCAGCAATATTTTATCCAGTTGAGGGGAACAGGATTGAAAATAACCCCCAACAACCTAAAACCTATTTTGAATGAATGCCATCAGACCTGAATGGCATTGTCTTTAAACCTCACTGCAGGGAACAGATGTTGACACTGTCAGTGACATTATTCTTATTGTTATCATTCTTTACCTCCTACCTCAAATAAGCAAACGTGTGTTTTGGCGGATGATGCAGGTTTATCAAAGTGATGAAAGGCTGCCGCCTTCAACGTCGACTCCTGGATCGGCGGGGCTACCGCTGAACGAACCGGAGTCATGTCCATTAGTGGCCTTGCAAGATTTACCTTACATTAGCTTTTCATTTCAGTGACCCTTGTGTGATGGCCCGATAATGGGATACGGAGTCATAGTTCACCTTGTCCACGCTGTTCAAATCGCACGTGTATGTGGGTGTGCGTCTTTTGAGACGGAGCTCTCTGTCAACGGTGCTATAATTATCCTCCCGAGCAAAACAAGTGCCGATTGAGAGGCCCATTGTCTGAAGCGGGATTAGAGACCATGAGGGAGGTGAATTTCAATTCGTATGCGCGATGACACTTGTGACGTTGGGTTCATGTCCACGTTGAGTCCTTTGCCCAATATGTCACACACTTGTGTTACGAGGGCAGCTGGTTATTATGATAGGACACGTTTGCTCATTAAGTTTGCTGAAGTGACATTGTGTATCGACAAATAGATTTTCTTGCAGATTGTGTTCCTCTTGTCAGTTATGTGAGAAAGCCGAGGAGCGTTTTTGTCGAGCAGAGCGACTACTAAACCATCTTTGGATTGCCACACGTATAAAGGCGGCCCATATAAAGCCATTCAGTGCACTGAATGAACATGCCATCTGTGGGGCTTTCTTATTTCCTCTTCTCTTTTCTTCTCTTCCTTTTTCAAGCCTTGTAATCAAATTTGAGCAAAATCAAATGGCGGCAGGATAGAAGGCGCGCAGTAGGGGCGGGTGGAGGGTTCAATGAAAGTACCTTTTGTTGGTCTGAAACGAGCAAGTAATTTACAAAATGCCCTCCCTTTGTACAGAGGGCTAAAGGAAGAAAGAAATCAGTAGCTTTTAGAAGCTAGGCCTTGCGCTGCGACGGGCAAGATAATGAAAGCCGTCTTGTGTTTGTGGGATAGAAAGCGTCTCAAAGGCTGACTGGGCCCGGGCTCAGGGTTAGCTTCATAAAAAAAAAAAAAAAAAAAAAAAAAAGAAGAAGAAAAAGCGTCGAACACAACGGTCTCGCACATACAGAGGAGTCATGTGGACTTTTGTGGACTCCTCTGTGCAGGCGTGCGTGTGTGCCTGTGTGTGCATTTGTGTGTGTGTGTGTGTGTGTGTCTTTTTTGTGTTTGGCAAAGAGCGGCAAAACAAGGATAGCAGTGCCTAGCTACTCTTGGCTGAGACACTGCGAGGAACAGACAGAGTTGGGCATGCTGAGGAAGGAGGAGGCAAGGCAAGCTGCTGATCTCCTCTTACCTGGTGTGCTGTTGCAGGTCGGCCTCACTCTTGATGTGGAACGCCTCTGCGCAGGAGTTCGGAAGGGAGATTATCAAACATCATTCTAGTGAAGGATTAAGAGGATTTGCATATATATATATTTTTTACCCCCCCTGACTTTTTCTTGAACACCTCTTGTGCATGTCCTGGAGTGGGACACTTGAATACCCAACTGGCGTTAACCTGCATGGATTATCGCGACTACCTGAGAGACACCCCCCCCTTCCCTCAAGATCCTGCTTTTGTATATTTGTAGGTCACATCCTTTGGATTTATTCCATTAAAAACTTGTTGTCTTCAAATATTCTAAATGTCGAAATCTAACATGATTTGAGTCTGATTTCTAACACTGTAAATTGTGTTTGTGGAGATTGTTGTTGCTCATTTCCATCTCTGCTTTGTGTATCTGGCCTACAGAGCGCTTCCCTCCCTCTGTGGCCGCACCGTTACCTGAGGTCTCGTCTTGCCACACGCACGCCGGTGAGTTATGACAACCTTCATTACGCTAGTTAAACATGTTTCCTTTTTCTCTCTTTTTTTTTTTCCTCTCGTTCTAACATGAAAGTTGGTTACTTGTAAACTAGCGCTTGGTTGCCTTTGCCTCACCTTTTCAATGTTTCACATTTCGCTCTGTTGTTTCTGTGCCCTCATATTCATGAGCACTGTTTCTCCTGATGTGCTTTAACCATTGCTAAGAAGCAAATAATGGTCACCGGCCGACTCTTGACCGAACGAAGTGACCTCTTTTCAAGATTCTGACATCAACTTTGGTCTATTATGGCTGTGTTGACTATCTGTGTCTGCTGAGCTTATCCACGTGTGATTTTTAGACGTTGCCCCTCAAACTTCGCCTGGAATGTTTGGAATAGTCTCGGCGTGGATTTAATTCATAAATACATTTCATGAAGTTGTACGGCGATACCCAGTGCCATTCAAGACGTTATTCGTGCAGTATGAAAGAATGGCCGACTTTTGCCTTTGGTCTTGCAGTTTTGTATGCTTTATATTTTCGTGCTATGGCGAGAATGACTTATGTATGCAGTGAGTGTTTTGACTGTTGGCGAAATATTTTTTGGGGTGAGCATTCTAACAGAAAGTCAGAACTAAAACAACGTGTTTTGGAAATATTTTGGTCCACTTGCATCTGGGTCCTGCGGTGCAAGTGGCCTTCCAAATCCATCAGCTCCAAGTGCAATTTCCCCTGCAGGGTGTGGAGTGGAACATTCTCGAGTTTGGAGAAGATCCAGGCACTCGTTGAGGTCCAAAATCGCTGATATTTGACATCCCAAACGGTCTTCGGGATGATTGGGGGAAAAAAAAAAATCCCCCAACACACAGTAACTGACCTCCTGTCGATAGACTTTCCAGAAGATTTTGAACTTTTGCAGCTGTGTTACCAAATGCCCCTGAGGTTATACATTATTAAGATTTTTTTTTTTGGGTGTGCAGGAAAATTGTAGAACGATTGATTCATAATGGAAAAATAAGCGGGTCCCAAAGATCACGGGAGCAGAGAAGTCAAGGCAGGAGTGGAGGCCAAATACGTGGGCTGGAGAGCAAGGATAAGATATTATTCGTATTCTAATCCACACAGGCAACAGACTCCCCATGTGCACGACAACAGCAACGAGAAAACGAACGAGCACAACAGGAGGAATGAAATACACGCAGACAGAGCGAGAAAGAGGAGGGACGAAGGTGAAGATGGAGACAATCAGCAGGCAAGCAACCAACAAGAGAAGTAGGAAAACAAAGAAACAGACCCCCCCCCCCAAAAAGAAGCCTCCAGCTACACTTATCAAATTAAAACCAAGTCTAACCGCAAAGTATCGTCACATCTCTCGACGTACCACACTTGATCCAGTTTGTTTAGATGATTCTACTGGAAACAAGAGCAACAGGAATCATTTCCTGGGTGAGACGGCCAAAATGTAAAACAAGACAAAGCCAAAGACCTCCACCACACGATCACCAAATTGACCAAAATCGCGTCGCTCCGCCTGAGCCACCACTTTAGCCTGCCTGCGTTTAGTTTGCTTTGAGCATCCGCTAGTCTTCAAAGCTCAAGAGGTCGCCTGACAAAAGTTTGCCCTCTGCTCTCAGAGTCAGAACTGAATCGAGAGACGCAGCATTCAGCCATACAGGGAACAAAATCCCAGAAAACTGGAACGCGGCCAAGAACACCCGCTTGATGTCAATCGAGGCTAAAAATGCAATTTGAATGAGATTGTTTGAACGACACCTGCACTCTGAACTGTTACTTTGCATTTTTACTCTCGTTTCTGTTTTAATGTCTGAGTGATTGTTTTGGATTATTCGGAAACTGCGTCTTTGCACCCACTGTTTGCAATTTTAGCAAATCAGGCCCTCGTCTTCGGCGGCCGCATCACCAGCGCACCGCAACGCTCGCGTGGAAGCAGCAGAGAAAAGTTTCTTCCCTCGCGCGGTTATCGAGTGGCGTTTCAAGATGCCAGTTTTTGCTCCCGACATATTTAAATGTCAACATTTGCACTTGAACAAACGCGCCGGTTACACATTCCACCGGAAGAGAATGCGTAATGAGCTTTGGTGTTGCCAGGCGGCGTCCAAGCTTTGCCCTCTACGTTATCCTGCTGAATGCATCGCTGCTTTGATTATTTCTGGCAAGCAACTCAAGCCCGTAGCACGCACGCATGCGCATGTGTGCGCGTGCGCGCCTTTGAGACTGAGAAAAATTGACTTTTTAACACTGCTGAGGCTTTAAATCATGAACAGTCTCTTTCTTAGCTGGTTTTAAATATAACAGGCGCATTATTACTCTACAAGTGTGCCATTTTCTTTGTGTGTGTGTGTGTGTGTGTTTTTGGTGGTTTCTCACATTTCATTGTCGCATTTTTTTCAAGTCAATCCTTTTTCTCCATCAGATTTTTTCAGTTTTTAATATGTGCTGGCCTCGCGAGTGGGGATGCAACCTGCGCGTCTCCCCCGGCCGGCCCGGGGACCTCTAATAACTGCTCGAGGGCCGTTCAATGAGCGGGCGCGGCTTGCCCGGGGGACTGGATGGTTTCACCAGCGATTACAGCTCATTGAGCAGGAGGGGCAACGCATCGATTTCATCCGCGGGTGTGTGCGATTGCACCTGCATGTCTGTGTGTGTCTGTCAGTCACCCACGGGACATTTGCAGCCAGCTTGCTGCGTCCGGGCTGTTATTAACAGCAGTAGCCGGCCATTAAGCCTGTCATTTCCTCAATCTACTGGCTGACCTACTCCACTTGGACAGCTTCTGTGCTTAACCTGTGACCGCTGATTGCCCAGTATTATTATTGTGGAGGCAGTGCAAGTCTGAGTGTGGGTGTGTGTGTGTATCGATTTCAGGTGCACAGTAAGAATACACTACAGAGCGTATTAAGAATGCTTTTTTTTCCTCTTTGTGTATTTTTAAAGGTCCTTTGCTACGTTCACAATTAGCCAACCAATCGAGGTCCTGGTTTCAAAAGGGGCTTTTCTCTTTTGACAATTAACAGTACACTTACAAGTGATGCCGTAACAACGCCGATTTTGTCGCTTTTCAGTTTTGTATCGGTCCCACATATGTTGTTCAAAAAAAAAATCGCCATTCGCGCAGACCTTCAAAAAGGTGACTACAGCGGCCACATAAGATAAGATAAGAAAACCTTTCTTAGTCTCACAATGGAGAAATTCCCAATTCACAGCAGCAAAGTTATGAAAGGAAGTAGAAGAACAAAATACAGGAGCTGCTGTAAAGGCAGCCACTCTCGCGGCGTCAGCTTGAAGTCAAAATAACAAAATAATACAACACAACCTGCGTTTATTTGTGCGGTAGAATACGCTGTCGTTTTTTTTTTTTTTTCTGACCCTCACGCAGTATTATCAAAGTTAGAATTACAGGGAATACGTGTCGGAAAAACGCTTCTAAACTAAACCATCAATGCACATCAACCCAATGAAAATGGGAAGCGTGGCAGTCACAGCATATGTACAGTTGCGCTGCATCGCGACGTCTGCGAAATCTTGTCAATTATGTGCCCGTCATAACCTCGAAACATTTCAATACCGACTGGCTGCATCAAGGATTAAACCGGTTCCTATTGTTGGATCCACGCTGGTCGGAGTGATCGGACCCGCTCCCGGGATGCATGGATGTGTTTCGGTTTGGAAATGGGCCGAGAGGCAAGAAAGTTTGCCATCCTCCTGCCCCACCTTCAGGGCCCTCCTTCGTCGCCAGTTTCCGCCATCTGCGCACAGTCGCCATCAGGGTGGCCCAACCCCCATGCAATTGGGCCGCATCGGCCTCACCCTAACGAGCGAAAGCGTTGCCGTCGCGCGAGTGCCTGCTTTGAACTGTGTCCGTCCGGGCCAATCCAGACCTTGACTGGACAACAAATGACTTGTGACAAATGAGTTCTTCCTGCCACCAAGCCCGCCTCCCAACACGCTGCGACATGTCGGCACTTCCCTTCAGCCCTTTCTGCTTCACAGCAACTTGAGGCGCCGCCGCATGCTTTGGCGCCGCGTTCCATTCCATCTCCGCCACGCATTCATCTTCGGTTGCGGGCCTTGAATTGCCTTGACCTCACCTCCAGCCTTTTGTGCGCTGCCGCACGTCGTGACTTCCTGCTTGCCGTTTGCGTGGCGCTGTGCTACAATGACCTTGTATGTCCCAAACCTCTTCCATTATCTGGTCTTTGAATTGAACTGACGTTTTAGAAATTGAAATATGCTGGACACCTATTTCTTTAAGACATTAACCCCCCAAAAATTCTTCCTTCTTTCTTGCAAGAGCTGCCATAATTCTGAGAAATACAGTGGTGCACTTCCTATGTTGTTTGACTATGTGTGGTACCATGATACATTTGCTCCCCCCCTTTTTTTTTTCTTTCCTTTTTTTTTGTCATGATGATCAACCATGCGTCATTTTAACACAGGTGTGTACAGGTCTTTGATTTATGCGCTAATACCGTGTGACTCCTCCGTTGCTGGGATTAACCTTGGTTTCCCGCTACTTTGTCTCAGCGGCCGCTCAGAGAGCCACGCGGAGCCCCTGCTCGAGGTGATAGGAGCTGAAATTAGCCAGCTTTCTGCCTCAAAGCTGCTTCATTAAGGCAGCCGTATCACCTTGGCCTGCATTAGCTCTGCTGCTAATCCAAAAGCTAGCAAAGTCAATCATACAGACCTTAAGCTAACTAAAGCTACCTCTGCTCTGCCTCGTCTTTCCAGATAAGGTAATGAGGATCCAGAGGGGTTAAGGTGAACTTGGCTGCCTGTGTATTCGGGCACGCCACGTAATGGATGACCAGCGGATGTCGTGGTAAATACACCCAATGTGAGCTGGGAGAGCTGGAATCCCCGTGTATTGTCTTTAAGTTGATAAGGCAACGAGAGGCTTACCGAGGTGTATCGGGGGGGAGACGAGGATGGGATCCTCCCCAGGTACTACCTGCTATCTTGATGCGTGACACCCAGCTTGGCCCCTCGAGCAGGCTTGCTAGTGTTAATATCCACTATTGTCTTGTCCCGATAAGCTAATGAGGGTTGTAGCGAGAGGTGATGGGAGTATTAAGAAGTGCATTAGTGGACAGACAAGAACAAGAGACTGTCAAGTGCTTAACCCCGCTGTTAGCTGCAAGACGCCACTTATGGAAATCAGAAGTTGCCTTGGTCTAATTTGGTCGGATACGGAAAAACGGAAGTCAAATCTTGGTTACAAACCGATGCTAAAAGCCGTGATTTGGATAATTGCCCAAATTCCGAATAAGGGACTCTTGTCCATAGATTTACATGTCATATCCCATGACTGAATTGTCCACGAGGCCACGTACATTACTGTGCCAAAGTGTTCAGGCGGGCGGCCGACTGGTTAGCACGTCGGCCTCATAGTGCAGAGTTCCGGGGTTCGATTCTGGCTGCGGCCTCCTTCCTGCGTGGCGGATCGGAAAAAGGATGGATGGAAGTGTTCAGGCACAATTCGATATTATGTCCATACGTACTGGAACGACAGTTCACTTGGCTAATTTCGTGGAGCCCAGACATCTGCCTAGCAAAATTGTGAAACGTTGTGTATATTGTGGCTGCCTCCGTCATTTAAGTTGCCCATTTTCTCGTATTACAAAAACAAGACTCTCCCACGGTGGCGTTCCTGACAAAGTATGACAATTCAGGCAAATTGTTCTGGATTCGAACGCCTTTGCCTTGACAGCTCTGGATTCAAAAACATTCCAGGTTATGCCAGATGGAATGTGAAATAACCATTGACTGATACCAAATATCGATTGGAACCTGTGCATCTGTGCATTAAGACACGGGTTGTCGCCGATGGCAGCAATTTCCGAGCCTCCGGAGTCCTTCGGGTCCCCCCCGCACAAAGACGCCAAACCTCACACGCGCACATCAACGGTCACCCTGCCCTGCTTTTAGAGCCATTACTGTCAAACAGCTGTGAGCGCGTCAAGAGAAGTGCCATTGATGAGACGGAGCGAAGGAGAGAGAGAGAGAGAGCCTGAGGGATAAATGGTCAGGGCCAATAGAGAGAGAGAGAGGCTGATGGACAGATAAGTGGGTGTCGAGGCAAGAGGAGGGGGTGCCGGAGAGGCGGGTGTTTAAAGGATGAATGGAGCGGCGCAGGGGAGGGCACCGGGTGCGATGCTTGGCGAGGCCCCGTCTCTAAGTGAAGACAAATTGATGGGGGGGTGTCAAAGAGGATTCCAGAGAGGAACGGCCCTTTAGTTGACAGTCAATTATCAGATAGACCCGCTGGCCTTGCA